TGAGCCCCCTCCCACACCCAAACTCCTTCCCGGAGCCCGCACCCTTCACCTCCTCCGGTACCTCAACCCCCTGCCCCTGCCCTGAGCCCCCTCCCACACCCAAACTCCCTCCCGGAGCCCGCACCCTTCACCTCCTCCGGTACCTCAACCCCCTGCCCTGAGCCCCCTCCCACACCCCAACCCCCTACCTCAGCCCGGAGCCCGCACCCTTCACCTCCTCCCATGCCCCAACCCCCTGCCCCTGCCCTGAGCCCCCTCCCGGAGCCCACAACCCTCCCCCAGCCCCAATCTCCCTCCCACACCTTGAACTTCTCGTTTCCAGCCCCACCCCAGAGCCTGCACCTCCAGCCAGAGCTCTCACCCCCTCCTGCACCCCAACCTCCTGTCTCAGCCCAATGAAAATGAGCGAGTGAGCGACAGAGGAAGGGGGAATGGAGTGAGTGGGGGCAGGGCCTCCAGGAAGGGGCGGGGCCTCCAGGAAGGGGCGGGGCAAGGGTGTTCGGTTTTCTGCGAGTAGAAAGTTGGCAACCTGAGGGCAGCGGCTCTTGTCTGACAGCCACTCAGCAGTGGGGGAGGAATCTCAGCACATCACCGACGGCGGGCACTCACGTCCCCCTCCCCAAAGGTACTAATTCCCACTGAAATCACTAGCAGGGGTGGACCTGTCCCCCCCCCCCCGAGGCCAAGGGCTGAACGGGCGAGAGCCTGAACTCGCGGGCCCATGGGCAGGGTGGGGCACACGGCTGGGGCAGGGCTCCAGCTCCTCCCAGCCGTACCGAGCCCATTTGGGGGCCCAGCTCCCAGGCTGCATGAGGCGAGGGGGGCAGCCCCGCCCTACCTGTCTTGGCCGACACGTTAAACCTGCCGGCTATTCTGTGCTCCACGGAAAACTTCTCAGCCTTGTCCTCCGGCAGGCGCGGCTCCAGGTCAGTCTTGTTCCCTAGCAGGAAGATGGGGGCTGCAGGAGGCAGAGATGGGACGGGGTGATGGGGGAGAGAAAGACGGGAAAACGCAAGGGCTCAGGACGGGGCCAGCACCTGCCGGGTGTGACCGGGGGGCCGGGCTGTATGCAGGGAGGGCCATCCAGGGCCCTGTACCCCAGCACACAGTAGGGAGGCCTGGACACATGGTCAGACCGGCGTTCACGCCCTGAACTCCCCTGTCCCTTGGCGCTGCCTCAGCATCCGTGCCAACTCCCACGTGTATAGAGCTCGAGAGCCCGGAGGGGCTCAGCTCATGGCTGGACTGGCCCCCCGCTCCCCCACTCCCGGGTCAGCCGGGAACAAAACACGGGGAAATGGCAGAGCCCTGGCACTAAAGGTGCCACATCCTGAAGCAGTGGTGCCAGGCTGCAGTGCCGGGGGCCCCTGTTCCTATTCACTCCGATGGGGCACCCAGAGCCCTCCTCTGCCTTGGCTAATTGCAGCCTTAGCGAACAAGCAGGACATTGGACACTGGAGTGTGGTTTCAACCCTGCAAACCGGCCTAGTGGGACCCCCCCCAGCCCCTCCCAACCTGCCCTGCCAGCTCCAACGCTGGGCACCCATGTTTCCAACTGTGCTTTCTTCCCCGCTGCCCAATCAGCAGGGAATGCCCGCCCCGAGCACCTCGGTCAGGCCACTCCCCCTTTCCCCTCCAGATCCCGCCCCTGCCACGACACCTGCCACAGGGAGAGCCACGGGACCTAGCGCCGAACAGCTCTGTGGGACGCCCCTCCCTGCCGGTGGCCCCCGTGGTCCCTGTCAGCTCTTTGGGGCAGGAGACGTCTCGGTACGCGTCTGCACAGCACTCTGGGGCCCGGCCCTGAACGCGGCTTCAGCTCCACACCGGTGCGCAGCACAGCTGTGTGTGGGGAGCCCAGGGCTGGCATAGCACAGGCATAGGCACTGACTCCGGGGGTGCTCTGGGGCTGGAGCACCCATGGAAAAAAAATAGTGGGTGCTTAGCACCCACCAGCCACCCACTGATCAGCAGGCGGGAGGCGCTGAGGAGAGGGGGCGGAGCAGGGGTAGGAAGAGGTGAAGCAAGCATGGGGCCTCGGGGAAGGGGTGGAGTGGGGGCGGGGCCTCAGGGCAGAGCAGAGGTGGAGCACCCTCCCGGAAAAAGTCATCGCCTGTGAACATAGGGCTGAGGTTCAGCAGTGAGGGGCACCGGCAGAGCTGGGGGTGGGACCCTAGGCTGGGAGTGAGGTCACTGGCAGAGCTGGGGGGGGGGCAGGGCTGGGGTAGCAGGGGGCTGTGGGTTGAGATTGAGGGGCACTGACAGAGCTGGGGGGAGCCCAGGGGTTGCATAGCAGAGGGTTGCGGGTCGGGATTGAGGGGCACTGGCAGAGCTGGGGGGAGCCCAGGGCTGTGGTAGCAGGGGCTGCGGGTCGGGACTGAGGGGCACTGGCAGAGCTGGGGGGAGCCCAGGGCTGGGGTAGCAGGGGGCTGCGGGTCGGGATTGAGGGGCACTGGCAGAGCTGGGATAACACAGGGCTGCGGGTTGGGACTGAGGGGCACTGGCAGAGCTAGGGGGAGCCCAGGGCTGGGGTAGCAGGGGGCTGTGGGTCAGGACTGAGGGGCACTGGCAGAGCTTTAGGGCTTTAGACCTTTATGTACAATACACGCCATTGTCATGAGCACTAAAAATCAATGCAAAGTGCTACAACTGTGTGTCTGAAGACAGCATCACTCTGGCCATGGCATCGCTAATTAACAGACAGACGCACACACGTGCACGCACACACACACGATTTCGGCAGAGCGGCTGGTTTCTCTTTAACCGTTTTCCGGGCTCCCTCTGTCTCCAGCCACTTTGAAAAGCTGCCAGGGAACCTCGTGAGAGAGATGGCCTGGAGCCCAGGGCTTAACGAGCCGCTGCCCTAATGAGCGTGACTGGAGCCCAGCCTGGGAAAGAGCTGGGTGGCACAGGCTGGACGCCAGCCCTCAGGGTGGCAGGCAGTGGGGCCCAGCCCCTGGTACACGTGCTCAGGCCTATGGGATGGGCGCTCCCTCCCTCCTATGATGAGGGGGGGTTCCCTGAGCGGCTCGGCTGCTCGTTCCTGCCCCTTGGGGTGCAGGGGTACTTGTACAGTCCTGGGGAGAGCAGTGGCTGGCATGGGGGAGGGTGCGCGCAGTGCTAGAATGGGGGGAGGGGCTTTGTGCACGGGGCAGGGTGTGGAGAGGCTAGAACTGGTCAGTGGGGGGCATCCCTGCCATGGGCCAGACCCCAGCGTGGCATCGCCGCATCACGTGCCTGCTGCAGAACCCTATGGCCGGGGCGGCCAGTGAGCTGAACAGATGCCCCAAGGGGCGTGTGGCGGGTCCAGGGGGTGGCTCCACCAGGGGGCAGGATGGGACGGGAGGCAGCTGCCTGGTCCCCCCAGGGTAAGGGCAGCCCAGCCGTGGGATCTGAGCCAGCTGTATTCGCACAGCTCCCCCCCAGGTGGGTGAATAACTGGGGGGGATGGGCGCTGGGAACCCGCCCCACCTTGGCAGGTCAGGGGAACCCACTGTTTGGGAGGGAGCAGTGCAATGGAGGATATTGGGAACTTGGCCCTCCCTGTCCCCGCATTGCAGGAGTTGCCCAGTGCCCCCTACCATCCGGGCAGTACTGCCGGGCCACGTAGACCCAGTGCGGGAGGCTGTCGAAGGAGAGCTGGCTCTGGGCGCTGTACAGCAGTAGCACGGCGTCCGTGTCCCGGTAGTAGCAGCTGCTCAGGGAGAGGAACCTTTCTTCACCGGCCGTGTCCCACAGGGAGATCTGCGCACAGCAGAGAGCATGGGGTGAAGCCTTGGCCCCAGGGCGTGGAGCAAGGCACTGGCAGCCTGTGGAACTCACTGCCACATGAACTTGGCTGGACAAATGAGGCGGCTGCAGTCTTTAAGCCGGCTGGGTTAGATGGTAACGGTCTCAGGCTGAAGGCCCTAACGCGCCAGGACGTGCCCCGCTTCGCCCCACAGACAGCACTGCCCAGCCGGCTGGTTTCATCTCCCTCAGGACGCAGGCAGGATACCAGGCGAGAAGGGCCCAGAGCCCCGTGTGCTGTGGTGACTGGAGCGAGAGTCCAGGGGGGAACTCAGGAAAACCAGCTCATTTGCGGAGCATCGTGATTCAACTCCAGGCCCCCAGCCAGCCCTGCCCCCCACCCCCCACCAAGGCTCTCAGCCAACACAAGCCCAGCCCTGAGCCGCTACCTGTGGGTGGGATGCTGTCGCCTAGCAACTCCTGACAGCGGATTAACCCTTTGGGTCGTCGCTCCCCAGCGAGGGACAGTCTGGGTGCCCGTGGCAGGGCTTGGCTACCACGGAGTCTCGCTGGCATGGCCCAGACACACCCGGCCCTGGGGGGAGGGCGAGGGACAGGCCCGCAGTCACATACCTGCGCCAGGCCGGGGATCGGAGGGTGGCTGAGCTGCACGGTCCTCTTGCAGATGGCCAAGTGCTCGTTGGGGGCGTGGGCCCCCTGCAGGAAGCGCCCCACCCGGATGCGGTGGAACAGGGTGGTCTTCCCCACCCCAAAGTCCCCCAGCAGGATAAGCTTGAACTTCAGGTCGGGCGGAGGCACGGTCGCCATCACAGTGCGGGGGCCGGCTCCCTCCAGCAGCCGTGGGTGGTAAATGCCCAGTCCTGGCCCATGGGCTCCATTCCTCGGCAGGACCCGTCCCACTGGGCCACTGGGCAGCACGGGCCGGCAGACCTAGCAGGGCTGCAGCGGGAGGGAAGGAGAAAGCAGGGAATGGAGCACGTTTCCCCGGCTGGGGCCCAGGCTGCAGATCCCAGCCTGGGAGACGGGGCTGGGGGAACCCCGCCCCACCCCCACTGCCGGCTCCAGCCCTGGGGGGCCCCATCCCAGGGAGCCTGAGCGGATTGCACCCATGGACCGTGAAAGCCTCTAGCTCTCCCCGGGGCACGAACAGGTTCCTAGCACCCTCCCAGCACCCCTCAGCCCTACCCTGGCCGGACTCTGCCCCTTGGGAAGGCATCACTAGCTCACGGAGACGGTGCGGTGTGAAATTCAGCACCTTAGCGACTCAGGCCCCCTAGCACTGCTCTGGGGCCAGCACGGACTGCTGGGTGAGAGCCCCCCTTACTGAGCGCCCCCCGTTCCTGGTAGCACAGGCCCCTAGCACTGCTCTGGGGCCAGCACGGACTGCTGGGGAGAGTGCCCCGTTAACCCCCCTGTTCCCTGCAGCCCGGTGCCCTGTGTCCCACACTCAGCCCCCGGGCTCTAACTCTTGCTGTCTCGGTGGCCCAGGCGTGCCGTGGCGCACGCCGTCAGGGGGAGAGGGCCCAGCAGGCGTGGGCGCGGCCTCTCCTGGCGCAGCTCTCTGATACAGGGACTGAGCTGGGATGTTATGGGGCCCCCTCGGGGCTCCAGCAGAGGCTGGTACCCCCCCAGGCAGAGCGTTTGCTTTCTGCATCGGGGGAGGGGCGGAGGGCTGGGCAGTTGACTGAGCGGGGCGGGGGGCGGTTTGGCAGAGCTAAGCGGAGCCTCCTCTACCTTGGCCAGGATCTTGCTGGGCCCACAAGGGAGCTTGCCAACTGCTTCCTGGTGTGTTGGAGTAGAGCCTGGGAGGAACTAGTACACCTGGCACACCCCTCCCAGCGGGGCAATCCCAGGCGGTCAAAGTGCAATAAACAAGGAGGGTAGGGCCCCCTTCTCTGTAAAGCCTCCACAGGCAGAAAGCCCTGGTTTCACCTCCCAGCCCTGACACCCACTCCCCAGCCTGGGGCAGAGCCCAACCCTGCTCTGTGCCTCAGTTTCCCCCATCCCACCCACCAGGGGCTGTATGGGTTAATGTCTGTCCAGGAAAGAGCTCCCAGTCTCGCAGAGTGGAGAGCTACCCTCCCCCGTGACACCGGCTTGTCTGTCCGGTTGGCCCGGGTGGGGGATGAAGGTGACCAGCCGCCCCCGCCCCCTGGGCCCCGCTGCATTCAGCCCCTGCCCCCTCTTGCTGATCAGGGAGCTGTCCGGGCTGCCAGGGAACTGCCTGCACACACCCATCCCCCTTGCTCTGCTCGGCTCGGCTCCTGCCTTCACCCATTTGCTCCTTGCCGGTTCAGTGCCCCCCGGAGCAGGGAACTGAGTGTTGCCGGCGTTCATAAACCGGAGGGGCCCCTGGAAGGAGGGAGCTCAGGCTCCGTTCCAGGCTTGGCACCTCACAGTGGCAGATCCAGCAGGGACAAGCCCCCCCTCTCCCCCTGACTCACTCCACCCTGGCCGGTGAGATGTTCAGCAGCTCCTGCCCAGGTGTGAACCCTGGCCTAGCTGGAAGGCCTGCGTCACCCGGCCGCCCCGTTCTAACAGCAGCTGGACGGAGCGCAGGGCGTTCCCAGAGCCAGCGGTGCAGAGAAGGCAGCATGGCCTCCCCGCGACCATCCCGCTCTCAGTGTCCCCCAGGCGCTCAGCCAGCTATTGGAAGGAGGGTAACCGAACACCGGCTGCTGGGCGTGGCCTTTTCATAGGCACGGCGCTGCAGCAAGGTCTGCCAGCATGCCCCGAGCGTGCCCGGTGCCTGGGCTTAGGACGGGCGCTGCAAGGGACTTTCTGCTGACGGTGCTTCCCCAGCTCCTGCTCCCTCCCGCACTTGGCCGCACTCCTTCCTCTCGTGTGTTACCCAGGGCTGCTGGGCACAGCTGCTCCCCAGCAGAACGGGCAGACACGCACGTAGCCCCCTCGCTCCTGCAAGCTGCACACGACAGTGACAGCAGAAATTGTACCCCACGTGGTTCTGCTCTTTTAACTCCTTCGGCACAAATCAACAATAGCAGATGGTTCCTTACCTGTCTGGTAACTGCTGTTCTTCGAGCTGTGGCTGCAGGCACGTCTTCCCTCAGGAGTGTGCCCGCCCCGCACCAAAGCCGGAGAAATCCGCCTAGCAGCATGCCTGGGCAGCGCTCACGCCCTTTTCCTCACAGCCCCTCCCCGGGCTCTAGAAGGGCAGAGCGGCCGTGACCCCTTAGGTCCTTTGCACCAAACCCCAGGCTGGAGCCTCTGATGCAAGGTGGGGCCTGGAATACGTGTCTGCAGCCACGTCTCGAAGAACGGCTCCAACACAGGTGAGTAACAGTCTTTTCTTCTTCGAGAGGTTGCAGACGTGTCTTCCCGGGGCTCGGAGTCGATCGACACAGAGACGGCAGAACTGCCTCCCAAAAGTGTGCGTCAGCCCTAGAAGCCATGGTGACAGCGCAGCGGCTAGCAAAGGTGTGCACTGAGGGCCAGACGCAGCCCTGCAGCCATCCACTGGGGGAAACAGCTGTAAGAAACGCTGTTGATGTTGCTTGAGCGCTTGTCGAATGAGCCTGTAAGGACTTTGGGGGCGTAATCTGAGCTGCTCCAGAAGCTGCAGTAATTCACGTCCTTATCTACTTAGTGGAGACCGATGGTCCTTTCATCCGCTCAGCTCAGTGTAAGATACAAAGAGGCGAGGTGATGAATGAAAGGGGTTAGTACTTTTCCCACATCTAAGGTCTGAAGGCGTCATTCTTCTACGCCCAAGTGTGGTTTGGGAAAAAAATACAGGTAAGTTAATAACCTCATTAAGGTGAAACGAAGAGATCACTTTTGACGGAAGTTTTGGCTGTGGTCTTGAAGCTACCTTGCCTTTGAAGAAGTGGGTATATGGGGGATCTGCCGCCATGAAGGCTTTCCTGACTAGTCTAGCAACCAGGAAGGCCATATCCTGGGAGCGGAGAGCCAATGAACACGTTGCTATTGACTCAAACAGACTCATCAGTGGCACGAGCACTGTATTAAGGTCCCACAATGGCTGGTGGAAAACGATGGACAATGCCTTTCAGAAACCTCCCTACCATAGGCTCTGAAAATAGCGACTTTCCCCAAAGAGGAGGGTAGAAAGCTGAAATCGCAGCCAAATGAACTTTCGAAGAGCTAAGAGCCGGGCCCGAAGATTTCAACTGCAACGAATAGTCCAGACCATTCTGAATCCAAACTGACATAGGATGAATTCCCCCTGAGGTCCCCCAAATCGAAAACTGCTTCCACTTCGACAAACAGGTGGAGAGGCTGTGTTCCAATTTATAGGTCCTTTTCCTCGGTGGAGCCCTCCTAGAGGCTGCCTCCGAGTTCTGCCGCAGAACATCAGTGCAATGAGGCTCAGACGACAGCTGAGGAGCTGGTACCATCTCCAGTGCTGATGTAGACCTCATGGCTTGCCTGCATCTCAAATGCCTTGCTAACTGCATCCTTGTCCTGAAGGACTTACAGATGGAGCACCTGTCCTTACCGTGTCCCTCTCCCAGGCACAATAAACACCGCGTGTGGGGCTCACTATTTGGAATAGTCCCTCATGTGATGGGCAATGTTTAAATCCCAGTGAAGACATTCCACCAGGAAACTACAGCTAACTAACTAACCCACCCACCTAAGGTACTAACTACTAAACAACTAACTATGAACACGAAGTTCTCAACAACTGAGAGATAAAAGGGCAGTGCCCCCAGCGCTCTGACTCTAGCTGTGGGTGATGAGAAGGAACTGAGTAGGGTCAGGGCAACGCTGCCCTTATACAACCAGGGGAGAGGCTAGGAGTCAAGGGGCGCGAACACTACCCCTGCGGGTACGGCTAGGCGAATCGCCCCGGCTTTGGTGCACTGGGCATGCACACGGGAATGTCTGTGAGCACTCGAAGAACAACAAAGAGCCAGCCAGAGCCTGTGGGGCTCCTGGGATCCTGTCACTTCTAGGGCAGCTAACTCCTAGAGAAGGGCCGCACTACGTAGGGGCTCCTGCCCTGATGCAGAAGGCCTGTCACCAGGGTAACGATTTATGCAGATAGACAAGGTCAGCAGAGTGTGCTGTAAGTCAGGAGTTCCACAGGCAGAGCTGCACAGGGGGAGTGCCAAGGGGTGGTGCAGAATTTGCCTGACTCCTTTAATTTTATTGAGAGAAAAACCCAAGAGCTGCTGTTGATGTTTTAACCTCCTTCATGAGGAAAGACAGAAAAGTTCAACCCTTGTTATGGAAGGGTCTAACTGCACAGCGAGTACCCCAGAGACTGGGAAAAGCCATGCCAGGGTACGAGTGAGACGCCTCTAAACCAGCAGCAGCTACAACTATAGATACCCAGACGGTTTGGGCCCAGTCAGAGCATTAATGCAAGTAAGAAACTCAAATATGCTTGGGGGGGTTCCCCCCAGCTGCTCTTCCACACTCTGAATGGACGGCCTCTGCACACAGAGGCCAAGCTGGAGAGCTCAACGTTGCCCTAAGTGTGGGTGGGTGGGGGTGCAGTGGGGGGGTTGGGGGGGAGAGCTTTCCCAGTGTTAAGAGGGACATTCAAGAGGATTTCAGCAGCTTGGTTTGCAACCTTCTCATGGGGTCTCCAATGAGGACTTGGCTTTGCCAAGCGTTGGCAGAGAAACAAGTGAACACAGCCCAGCAGCCAGGCCAGCTTCCTTATGAGGGTGCACTCTTGGGTTACGCTCATGGTGTGTCTCTAACCACAGCCATGCAGCGCTCCCTCCAGCAATCTCCCAGGCAGAGAGACAGCCAGTGCACTCATGCGACTCCACGAGGACACGTGCACAGGGTGGGAAACGCTTTATTTCAGTTGGGCTCACTTTTTTATTTTCCCTTTCAAGTGAGGAAATTAACGGGAAAAAATAGCTAGTGCTCAAGGCCTTACAGGCACAAGAGTCAGGACATTCAAGAGAGCAGTTCCCAAGGCAATCAGAACTGTAGGACAGCGACTTATCACGGGACAGCCAAGATACTACAGGCCACTGTAGCACTTACAGAGGGGCTGAGTTAAACTGAGGCGGGGAAACAATAGGAGTCCCCTGAATTTAATACCCGTCAATTCGCAAGAGTCTGTTAATGCCTGGAATGAAATTAAGCAAAGGTAAATGTAGACTGGTTGGCAGGAACAATACCCTGAGCTCCATCTGCTAAGGGATGGGCTCCCCAGGGACGTGCTGGGGACATGGGAGGAGGAGGAGGGACCAGGCACTCTCTCAGCCTGCAGTGGTCTGCTGGGAAAGGGACTGCCAGGTCCTCTCTGTCACCAGTTCCCTTGAGCTACGATGGAATAGCCAGCCTCTTCCCTGGGCGGCCTGCAACTCCTCCTGGAAGGCTGGGGGTATTGAACCAGCCGGCTTCCAAGAGGGCTCCATAGTCACCCTGCCTCTTCTCCCCACCCCAGAGACCAAAGAGGAAATTCGAAGCAGTTTGGCGCAGCAGTTGGTGTATTTCTGCCCTATCGGGGCCCACTCCAGGGAACAGCAGCAAACGGGACAGCTCCAATCGTTGGTATCCGCCTCTCATCCAGCATCAATCAGTTACCCAAGTCACAAGCTGCTGCAGCGACTTACCTGGAGCCCGAGGGCTGCACCCAGTGCGCTAATGTAGATCAGACAGCAGCCAGAAACAGGAAGGTTAACTCGACAGTCCCAGGGCCCAGGTCACATTGCCTGCTGGAAGCTGTAACCGCTGCACCAAAGCTGACGGCAGCCACAGACCACACTGAGAACGCCACAGACAGCACCTTGGTAAGTCCCACATAAAATCAATCAAGGTCAAGGTGCTGTGTCCGGAAGGCCCATTGAAATGCTAAATTTCCTACTGCCAGGAGACAGCTGAGGACAGCCTCCTTCCTCAGCATCAGCAGTGTCTCCACCTTCACCCCGGACAGGAGGCCAGCTGTGCTCAACACCAGGCTGCCCAGTATCCCATAGAAATTCATGGTGAAAATGGAAAGGATGAGGATGGTGATGGAGGCCACCACGGTGACAGACTGGGCAACCATGGCCCTGCCCTCTTCAGTGAAGTACTCCAAGCCCGCGGCCAGCAGCAGGGCTCCTCCCAGGAGGATGTTGGCAGTGGAGTGGTCGCCGTTCAGCCAGTGAAATCCAAAAGCCAGCAAAGGGAGGCCAATGACGGTGGAGACCCAGGTACCAGACTGGGAATCTGCTGCCAAGGTAACCCCAAGAGGTGTCCAGAAGAAGCCAACTGCTCCCACAAGTGCTGCCAGGGCCTGGAGGAGGAACCCTGCGGCGGCCCCGCGATTTATCTACAAACATACAGAGGCAAGCAATGAGCGGCAGGCCACGGTCACAGGGAACTCAGCAGAACAGACACAAAGCAATAGCTTGGACACCCAGGGTAACAGCTTGAGAATCCATCCCCCCGCTTGGTACCCAGACTAGCATCACACTGTCAGCGGGAGTCCACCCTTCACCAGCTCCGCTGCTTCCTTCCACACACAGCCCCTCACAAAGGCCCATTAAGAAAAACATCTTTGCTTGTGTTCCTTCCTATCTCTAGTATCAGAGGGGTAGCCGTGTTAGTCTGAATCTGTAAAAAGCAACAGAGGGTCCTGTGGCACCTTTAAGACTAATAGAAGTATTGGGATGCAAGCATCTGAAGAAGTGAGGTTCTTACCCACGAAAGCTTATGCTCCCAATACTTCTGTTAGTCTCAAAGGTGCCACAGGACCCTCTGTTGCTTCCTATCTCTAGTGCGACTGTGAAACCCCTTTTGTTCCACTGACAACTGCCCGCCCCCAAAGTAGATTCCCCAGCCCCACAGACACTGACACTGCCTCCTGCCCCCACAAACAGATTCATCCTTCCCCCAGCTTCTGCAAAAAAGTCATCTGGAACTGGTGAAGCAGGTAGGCTGCCATAGGACCAAGGAATCATCCGGTAGAGAGAGCACATTGAACTCGGCCCCAGGCCTCCTTATCAGACTCTCGACACCTGTAAGCGTTAAGCTAACTCGCAATCAAGTGCTGTGGGAAGAAAGCTGGTAAGTTATCATGGGGCCTGAAAATCTGTTTGTCCAGTAAACATGAGGGCAACAGAAGCGAACGAGGGACAACGCAGATGGCCTTTCGCTAGGCCACAGCCCTAGTGCGCAGTGCGTTGATTTGTTCTCTGCGTTGGCAGTTTCCTTTAACAAGGCCCGTCTCTGTCAGGTGGGGGAACACGAACAGCCGCTCACAGCTGCCACCTGGGCACGTCTATGGCAAGAGGGGCACATTGGTCCATTCCTGAGCCCTGCGCCTCCCAGACACGATACGATGCTCTGCGGCAATCGCTCTCACCTGGAAAGTGCGGACAGCGGAGCTCAGACACACGGCGCTGAGCCCCACGCCGGGGAGAGCCGTGCTCCACTCAGCAGCCAGGCCGGCCATGGGGGCAGGGGCCTCATCCAGCCTGAAAGGGAGAGGGGAGAGCTGGGTTCCCGGGGTCGCAGCACCCGGCTCTGGCTGCGACGGGGGGGGGGGCGGCTGAGGGGTTCACACAACAGAGCAACTGCCGGGCCCGGGGCAGAGCCGACAGCTGGGAAACCTCCGAGAGAGCGAGAACTTC